TCTTGAGTAACACCATAAATTTGACTAATAACACGTTAATTTTATGTACTGGGGAGGATCCTCTCTAGTGATGTATCTCATGGGAAGTCTCCTTACTTATAAAAATGTTATGATTCGTGTGTATTTTCTCACAAAAAATCCCAATGTGTGATAACATAAAGATATTATAAACCTTATGTGCTCTCGGATCCCAACTTTTGGATAACATGAAAATTTTATAAACCTTAAGTAATCACTGGGGTAGGATTTTAATTTTTGGATAACATGAAAATGTTATCAACCTTAAGTAATCAATGGGGTAGGATCCTAGTTTTTGGATAACATGAAAATGTTATAAACCTTAAGGGTCTTAACTTATGTTCGTGGATAGAGGGTTGCCAAGCCACGACATCGTGAAATGATCCCCTTATACGTATCACATAGATAGACGCCATGCATTCAAGCGAGGTGTATAAACCTTAATTTGTGTGAAAGAGGTAATTCTCTCTTTAAACCTTAGAGGGGATTAAGTACCCTTAAACGTAGGAGAGATGATTAGTCTCTAGCATGTGTATGTAATAGCTTAAAAATCATATTGTTGATATAATGGAATTGTTAAGATTCTGAGATCTTTGTGCATTAGAAGGCTTACGTTTCAGGATATTTAACCGTGAGGATCCTTATGTTTCAGGATCTTCAACCTCAAGGGTCCTCATGTTTAAGGATTGTTGCTTATGGAGATCCTTAGTTGTGCTTTATCCTGCATGGAAAACGTTAGCTAGGGGTGGATGTTAGTCCAGCTAACGCCCCTCCAGTGCTTAAGTTAGTAATGTAATCAAGGAGAAAGTAAGTAACGATGAAAAGTACAAGGTAGTAAACATGTGTACGTTGGTTTTGTTGAAGATTAATCGAACCTACATACATCTAGTATGATTTGAGATGTATAATATTCCAGTATCTTGGAAAAACGTCTCGTTCGAGTGTTGCTACCCAATATGCTCCTTTTCTAGCTTCAACATCTATAAGATATGGTCCTTCCCACTTGGGAGCTAATTTACATGCATTCGGATCCTTGGTGTTTTGGAATCTTTTCCTTAAAACCATGTCTCCTATTTGGAACCTTCTGACTTTTCTGTTCTTATTGTAAGCCTTGGAGATCCTTAGTTTATGAGAATCAATGCGTATCTTGGCAAGATCTCTGAGTTCATCGACAGTTTCAACATCTTGGGCAAGGATCCTGTTATTGTTTTATTGATTTTGGAGCAGATATCTTACTGTCGGGATCACTACTTTGGTAAGGATCATTGCTTTTGTCCTAAACACCAGGGAATCGGGGGTCTGGCCTGTGGTTATTTTGGAAGTAGTCCTATCTACCCATATGATGAAAGGAAGCTCTTCTGCCTATCTTCCTTTCTTCTTATCCAACCTTTTCTTCAAGTTGTTTAAAATGATTTTATTGATGGATTTTGCTTGACCATTAGCTTGGGGATGAACTTAAGTGGACATTATCATTTTAATTTCCCAACTTGTGAAAAAGTTTATTGTCCTTTTGCTTATGAATTAGGATCCATTTCCGCATATGATTTCAGATGGGATCCCGAACCTGGTCAAGATATTATGTTTGATAAACGAGACCACCTCTTTGTCTCTTACCTGAACGAAGGCTTCAACTTCGATCCACTTTAAGAAATAATCCGTCATCACCAGTATGAAGACTTTTCCTCCTAGAGCTACTGGTAATTTTCCCACTGTATCCATTCCCCATTTCATGAATGGCCATGGAGAGATAATAGGATGAAGAGGTTCTGCTAGTTGATGTAGGATGTTAATATGTATTTGTCAAGCATCAAACTTTTGAGCATGTAAGAAAAATTCTCTCTTCGTGGTTGGCCAGTAGTGTATTGTTCTTAATATATTAGAGCATAAGGATCTGCACCCAAAGTAATTGCCAAAGTCTCCTTCATGTATGTCCGTCAAGACTTCTGCAGCTTTAGGATCTTCCAAGCATCTAAGGTATGGACCTGCCATGGACTTTTTTATAGATTTTACCTTGGATTATTATGAATCTTGAGACTCTTGTTCTGAATGCTCTTTTTTTTTCTTTTGTTGGTATCGTGCCATTTTGGGGATACTCCATAATGGGATGGGTCCATGATCATGGGCTTCCTTGAGGATCCTGTTCGTAGGGATCCCTTTGAGGAGGGATATGAGGGTCAGGATCTTTAATGGATGCTATACTTATTTTTTGTTCGGGATCTTCTGATTTTTTGGGAAGCACTTCTATGGTTGGAGTTATTATATGGGTTATAAGGATCTTCGTTTCTGTTGGGATCCTTAAGGAGGATCCTAGGTTGGCTAATGCATCTGCTTCTGTGTTTTCTTCTCTGGGAACATGAGATAGGCTAAGGTTTTCAAAATCATAGGCTAGTTTTTTAGGATCTCCAGATATAGTGCTAATCTTTCACCTTTCACTACATAAGATCCATTGAAGTGATTAAGTAGTAATAAAGAATTAATAAATACCTGAAGATCCTTGATTTTAAGATCCTTAGCCAACTGTAGTACCATGGTAAGTGCTTCATATTCTGCTTCGTTTTTGGTAGTGTTGAATTCTCAACTAACTGTCTGGGGTAGGATGTCCCCCTATGGCGATTTTAGTGTGATCCCTAGCCCTCTTCCTTTTTGGTTTGAAGCTCCATCTGTGAACAATGTCCCTTTTCCCAAATGTTCATCTTCTATGAGTTGTTTGGCTTCCATGTCTGGTTCTTTTTGTAGATCATCACTAAATTCAGCCACACAGTCTACTAATGCTTGTGACTTTATGGTAGATATTGGCTCATATTTGATGTCGAACGTGCTTAACTTCACTAACCATTTTTCCATTCTTCGTGACATATCTCATTTTTTCATGAAATTCTTTATAGGATAATTAGTTTTCAAATGTATGGTATGTGTTTTGAAATAATGTATTAATTTAGTACAAGCAGTTACTAAGGCAAGATTTAATTTTTCAAGGTTAGACTACCTAGTTTCGGGATCCAGAAGACTTTTTCTTACATAGTAGATAGGGTGTTGGTCTTTGTTAATATCCTTGGCCAGGATAACACTTATTGCATTTGAGGATACCGAGAGGTATAGTAGAAGTGGTTCTCCATCTATAGACTTTACCAATAATGGCGCATAACTCAAGTATTTTTTGAGTTCCTGAAAAGCTTTTTTGTGCTCTTTAGTCCATTCGAACCTCTTGTTCTTTGTAACATCCGGATTTCCAGGAATGTTAATTTAATTACTTCTTTTGAAGTGATGTGGAGGGACTCGACGAGTCAATGCCTAGACTCGTTGAGTAGGATTAGGATTGGGTGATTGGATTAATGTAGGGACTTGACGAGTCAATGGGTGGACTCGACGAGTCTGCGCTGTTATGTGAAACCCTAAATATCAAGGCCTGAGCCCTATTTAAGGGCCCTTATGGCCGTTATTTGCGGCCACTTCACCCCTGAGAAACCCTAGAGGGCAGAGAGATCGTTTGTGGAGCAAGAGGAAGGCTAATTCATCATTTATTGAGTGTGTTAGCAATAGAGAAGGAAGGAGAGCATGCTAGGAGGATTGACGAGCTTAGGTATACTATCTTTTGGTAAGATGGAACTGATAAAGGTACCAATATGTGCTTAATCTCGTGTAATTGTTAATTACCTTGAATCTAGGGTTTTCCCAACCCCCTTTATTTGCTTCTAATGATATATAAGTTGTCCATTTGGGTGTTAGACTCTGGATCTGGAACTTTAGAGGTCCAAAGAGCATTATCAGTCATGCTTTATGTTATTCCATGGAGGAAATGAACCTAGAATGCCATTTTATAATCTATTTCATCAAATAGAGCCATATGGACATTGCATGAGTGTCAAGGTTCGGACATTACGTGGTTATTGAGCTTGGGAAGGGCAGATCTATGGATTAGAGGAACAAATCTGACCTCAGAAGGTCATTTTTGTTTGAGTATGGAATGGACTCACCGAGTCCATAAGTAGACTCGATGAGTCGGACCGGGTTGATCTGTAACTCATGTCAGTTGGTGACTAGCCGAGTTGGGTGAGTGACTCGGTGAGTCAGATCTCATTTAAGGAACTGAAGTTCACGTCTGAACTCGTCGAGTCGGCGCATGACTCGACGAGTTGGGTCAAGAGTTGACTATTGACCAGCGTCGACCAGAGTTGACTTATGTTGATTTAAGGGTATTAGTCAAAGTTAGTCACGAGAGTAATAATTAGAGATGTATTATGTTCTAGGAGGAAGCTAGGTCGGAAGATTGAGCACGAGCGTTTATCCGACATCTTCGAGGTGAGTCTTCTCACTATGCCTTACCCGATGGGGTGATTATGTGTGACCGGAAGGTCTTATGTGTATGATGAATATGTGATACATGTTGTATATGTGATATGTTATGATATGATTATGATGATGCACTACTAGAAAAACAGCCTTTTACGACGCTCATTACGCGTCGTAAAAGGCTCAGACGACGCGCAAATGCGCGTCAAGGAAGGCCCTGTCATAAAGAGAGACAACGCGCATTTACGACGCTCATTTACGACGCGCGTTTACGATGCGCGTATACGACACGCAATGCGTATCAAGGAAGGCCCTGTCATCAAGGAAGACGACACGCATTCGCGTGTCTTAACCTTACGACGCGCGTGTTAATGACACGCAATGCGTATCAAGAAAGCCCCTGTCAAGAAAGGCCATGTCATATATGAAGATGACACACATTTTTGCGTATCATAATTTTAAATGTTTAAAAAAAATATTTTTTATAGATTTACTAATTTTCAAATTAAATAATACATTAAAAATCTCATAATACAAAATAAAATACCATAAACAACAAAGATAATTCATTTTACTAATATGTCAAATACAAATAATTATTCCAAAGGTGAGTAAGTGTTATAAAAAAAATGAACTCATTTATATAGAATTGCATCATCTAGCTTACTATGTGCCAACAACTCTCTGTGCGTTTACTTTTTCTTGAGTCTCGTTTCCTCCAAAGCTTTTAGCCATGCCAAAATATGATATCTTGAGTCTTGTATGAATAGATCGTGCGCAATAGGTCTAGCTTGTATCATTCCAAATAATTCCAATGCTAGTCTCTATACAAGCCAATAATTTGAGAACATAATTTTACCATTATTTTATAATTAATCAAATAAGAAAACAATAAATACCTTTTTCCATATATGAAAGAGAACAAGATAAACAAGATTAGTATCGCCACTTTCAGTTGCCTTAGTCGGGGCTGTATCTTCTTCCCCAATGCCTAGTAACAAAGGAACCTGGAAAGGTGCTAATTTCCTCCTGCTAGTCTGATCTGCATGAGCAGCAACTGCAACATAAGAAATGTTTCTGCACAATTTTAACTGAAAAATCCCAAAAAGTTAGCCATTGACATTTTTTAGTGTAAACAGGTTACAACAACAAAGATATCATGTAATGTAACACAACATTGATCTGCATGCATTTACACACTAAAACATTATTCTAACCTCTATTGTGGTTTTGTTTTGTATTGTAAGATGGATATGCCACCACAAGACCTGCAAATTTGAATCATGCAACCTTTAGATTCATATAAACATGATGATTTAACACTATTACAAAAAATTAGCATTTATTGGTAAGAAAAATTGGACACACCATAAGATAATTTCCATACAAACACTTTAAATGATGAGTTAACACTATTACAAAAAAAATTAGCATTTATTGGTAATACAGAAAAAAAAATTAACATACCGGGGGTATTTTAGTCAATACCTTGGTTTAGCCTTGATGCATAAGATAGAAGGGATGAAATATGCCTAAAGTTAATAGACAAAACCTATACTAATAGAATAATCAGTCCAAAAATATACACAAACACTTGCACACACTTACACATACTCACATATCTTTAAATAGGATCTAATTATGACCTTATATCTCTATTTATTTTTATTTTTCTGGGATAAAATATTAGTTTTCTTATCGTTAGCTAGTTTTCTTTCCGCTAATTACCACAAGTGCTTACTGAAATTCTTCAAATTTATTTTTATTTTTCAGGGTTATAATATTAGTTTTCTTATCACTAGTTTTCTTTTATATATATATATATATATATATGTATATATATATATATATATATATATATATATATATATATATATATATATATATATATATATATATATATATTACCTCCAATGACTTTAGTAGCGTCCTTAAGGCACCTAGAAAAGTATTGTTGTAGAACACTTTCACTACAGGGTGATTGACTCGGTTGACTACACGATATATGAAAACTGCTAATGCATCAAGAGAAAATGGATTTGATTCACTTCCTACAAAAAATTTAAATAACAACCAATCAAATTTATATCCATTTATAAAAAAAATAAAAAATAATAAATAATAAAATAAGAACGTTCGGAATCTGGAACAATTGGTACAGCAGATGAAGGAAAGAAGAGAAAAAGTTACCTGGCTCCATACTTCTTCATTAGGGGCATATTGTTCAAGAAAAGGCTCAGCTTCACTCAAGTAGATTGATGATGACAACTGTTTGTTCCCGTATTTCCTTCTTATGTATACTGCCCTAAAAAATTATATAATTTATAAATTCTTTTCTTATTAAAAAAAAACTAAATCCTTCTTCCTTCATTACCATTCATCCAACATCTTACTGAGTTGTATCTGCTTTCCTGGTGATGTATTCCATATCTTCATTTGCCTACATCATGCAATTTGGTCTGATTATGACACAATGATATCAAAATGACATAAATGCCCTTATGTGTGAAGGTTACCTGAGGTAGTAGGTTTTATAGGTAATTGGACCTTCTTTGAAAAGAATCGACAACCCATTGCGAATCAAGAAAGTTCGCAGCTGTGTCATAAGTCATAACTGAATTACGTTAGAAGGGTATAAAAGTAATTTCAACCACTTAACTAGGGGATAATATATATAATACCTTATATGTAAGAAATTTCATCTTGATCATTAGATTTGCATCGTCATCTGCTAAACTGTTTTTTGTAGATGTTTCATTGCCATCTTTGGAATTTTTTCCAATGCCGGGGGTATTTTTGGAAATCTCTGCGGATTTCTCTTTACTTGCCTTGAACAGATTAATTTCAACAAAAAAACCTTGATATAGTGGCCATAAATCTGGCTTGAATCTCATCTGTTTTTGGTATCTCCTGAAGGTTGAATCACTATGCACATGGATCACCATTTTATAATGAAGATTATCACTAGATATTGAATTAATTTTGTGGAAATTATAGTAACACTTGAAAGCAGCAGGAAAACGTTTTTCTTTCATCAATCTGACCATTTCCTGAATAAAAAAAATATATTATGCAATTAAAATACTGTTTGTGTGTTATTTATACTGAAATTTGATAAAAGAGTTTGGATTACCTTTAATTTAAAGGTAGTATGATCAGAAGGATTTGTTTGTAGAAATTTGGAAACAACTGATTTATCAGCACTTCTTGGAGGTATATCAGCAGCTTCAAATCCAAACCAATCCACATAATTTGGACAAAAAGATTTCCCAACATTTTGAAGAAGTGCCTTTATTTGATGCATTGTATATCAAGATTATTAAAATTCTCTATAAAGTATTAAAAAGAGATTAAAAGATTAAAGATTACTTGTTTCTCATCAGATCTATTTGCAACACATATTTCCCTTAGACGTGGTCCCAAATCTTGATCAACTGCCACATAAGCAAAAGAAAAATAAATGATAATGTATAGAAAACAAAATATATAAATGAAATTAGGTGAAAAGGGTAGCAAACCTTCCTCTATGGGTGAAGGGTAATCTTGTAATGCAAGCTCCATTTTTTTTGTGCTTTCATGGCTTACAAAATCTCACCCTGCAAAATCTCACCCTCCAAAATCTCACCCTGCACCTTTGTGTGTTCTATTGATCCTGTAATCATTCAACATTGCATATGTTTTAGGATTCTATATTGTATATAGTCATACTTATTGTCTAGATACATTAGTGTTTCCATCTATCTATTCATGCTCTTTTCTTAGTTGCACACCTGGCACAGAGATATCTGCCACCTCATCAAGAGCTTTACATACATATGTAGTTGTGCCTTCCTTGCTAGTTCTCTTGTGGGACAAACAATAAGAACACATATTGGTGGGACCCATTTTCTCTCATTGCTAGCTGAAGCCTTTAAAACTGTTACAATTGTGAGGAGTTGTTTGTGTTTAACAATATTGCATCGCCAAATCTAAAAAACACAAGAAAGTAACAAGCTGAATGTAATCAAGAATTCGGATTTTAGCATACCAAAAAAGCAGTACTTTTCCCTGTTCCAGTTTTAGCTTTGACCAAAGCATCGTTCCCTATTAGGAAGAAATTAGATTGAGACATAACAAGTAGATATTGCACTCATCAAACCTGAAAAAAGAACAACCCCAAAGCGATTGTCAACATAAAGCCTATGAACCTTATAACCATTATGATTTGCCCAAAATTACAACATTATCAGATTTAGCAGTTCCATTACACCAAGAAAACCAAAATGCAAACCTCTTTGGACTAAGGATGGAGTCATCATCACCCACTCCAATGCCTTTTTCAGCCATACGCCTCTTATTGAACTCATTCCTAATAGCCTGTACATGTAGAGACAAATCATCCTCCTCTTCCAAGAATTTCAATGGTATCCTTTTTGTCTTCTTTATATCATATTTTCCCAATGCAGCACTACTCATCATCTTCTTCTTCCTATTCCCCTTCCCTTCATCATCATCACCACTCCCCTCGGCATCTGATGAGCCAATCAAACTCAATCGTGATCCTCTTAAATCCACACCCTTCATCTTCGTCATTAAAAAAGCTTCAGGTTTTAGCAATATATTGAGTATAAAGAAGGTGGAATTGAACCTATTTGACAGAGGTTGCGATCTCTGGACTAATACCGTTGCCGGGGAAGAGAGTGGCGTGAATGAGATCAGAGGAGCTAGAAGAATAGCTTCGATCGGTCTGTGAGAAAATCCTGTTGGTAGGGTTCCTGAAGGTAGTCGTGAATACCTCATCTGCTGTGTGGATTCAGAGGAAACGTCTCCCAATCTGCAAAGCAATGGTTAACGACTTGCTGAAAGGAAAGGCCAAGTGAAACGCTAGTTCCAAAGAAATCGAAAAAAGTCAAAAAAATAAATAAATAAATAAAATGCCAGTTCCAGGGAAGTGGAAGCTTGGAAGAAAATAAAACCCTAGCACGTGCTAGAGAGAAAGGAGGTGGCCATGGCTTATGGTTTACAGGGAGACGGGAGGTAGAAAATGAAGGAAGATCTAGAGGAGAGAGTATCAGAGAGGAGAGTCGATTGCGAATTCAAGATGAAAGATAGGTAAAATGTAGAAAGAACGAGGCGGGTTTTCAAAATTTTAGGGATTTCGTTTCCCTCCCTTGTCTATTAAACGCGCGTTTCATTAAAATTATAAAGCGACACGTACAGACGATGCACGTTTAAGATAAAGCACCCTCCGTGTTTTTAATTTTTTTTCTTTAGACACTAAATTAAGGGCACGCAATAATGCATGACCTAAATCCTTAAATTTTTTGAAGAGATGACGCTATTTTAAGGGCGCTCTCTTTTGCGTAACATAAATCAGTGCGTGTCGTAAATTGCACGTCGTAAAAGGCTATTTTTTTAGTAGTGATGTGGACCGGAAGGTCAACAGAGTATGGACCGGAAGGTCAACAGACTTATGGGATGGAAATCCCGTGAGACACTTGGATCGGAAGATCCTATAGAGTTATGGCCTGGAAAGGTGTATGTTTTGTATGTGGTATTTTAGGTAACTCACTAAGCATTTATGCCTACAATGTTTGTGTGTCTGTTTCAGGTACCAATGATGATCGCGGGAAGGCGTCGGCATGATTCATACAAACTTATGAAGTTTATGTTATGAGATCTTGGGAAATGTTTTGATGTAATAATAGTGGACACCTCCTGTTTTGTATTACTTATTGATTAAAAAATGAAAATTTGTTTTGGAATTCCACGGTGTTACTAGTTGGTATCAGAGCCTTGGTTTGAGGTATTTGGATGTACCTTCAGGCGTATCTGAGCTCAAACTGAGGATTTGAAAAAGTTTATCATAAAAAGGAACAATTTTTCTAAAAGAGTAAAGACTTTGAGAAAAGCAGAAAGGAGCAGTGTGTACGATCAGCCAGCACCCAAACGGTGATTTCCCAAAGTACCCTTACATTATGTATTATGAGATATGATATGATATGCTATGCATGATAGTAGGCTAGGTATTCATATTAGGACTAGAGTGGCCTGATTTGTGATGGCTTAGCCTACGAGATTTCTGCTTCTATGCGATGATTCGAGACTGAGTAAGTAGTTGTGAGGAGCTTATGAGAGGTCTACCGAAGGGTAGCCTATGTTTAGTAAGGTGTAGAACACTTGTGAGCTGGGATCCTAGGAGGAGGACTTGGGATGAATATTAATGCGGTGTGAAAGGTAGTATAGGGCCCGTACTACTGGACACACCGGATCAATCGACAGTCCAAGTAAGAATCCTTAGGGTACCAAGGAACAAGTAGGGTTGGGTGGTCGAGTACGAGTATACTCGATCAAGTCTCTGGTATCTTTGTGTTGTGTTTCAGAGGCATCGTGGTTGGTACACCACACACCAGAGTGCAGCGGTGTTAGCGATGATGAGATTCACCGTATGATTTGTGACGAGATCACTGCGGGGATTCGGAAGGCTAATCCGGAGGATTTAAGTAGCTGGAATGAGAAGATAGAACATGGTTTGAGTACTATGATAAGTAGCGGGTTAAGAGGTGATGTCATCGTTCGAATGCCATGATGTGAGTTGGAATGAGATGGAACATGGTTCGAGTACCCTGATTCGTAGAAGGTTAAGAGGAGATATAATGGTGCATGTATCATGATTCATAGCAGGTCGAGAGGTGTCCATGCGGTTTAAGTGCCATGGCTTGTGGCGGTTAGTATTTCCGGTTTACCAGTTATTTTCATGGGGATTGTTTAGACTGAGACCAGTGGTGAATGAGTATGGGGCCGGAAGGGCATGAAGAGAAAGTTTTAGTGGAGCATCCATTGGAAAGGGAAATAGAATGAGCACCAAGGAATTGTGGATGATGTGCTAGTTGGAGTCTCCGAACTGAGGGATGAGTAGGGATGGTGCATTTTACGAGAATGTGGTCTGGGCTGGATGACCATCCGATAGTAGAAAGGTCACTTTCTGCGACTCGAGTAGTGTTATTCCCGTTCCCTGTGGGAAACGTATGATGTGATGAAATTTTGGTTTTTGATTTTGGGGGTAAGATCTGTGGGATTGCACAGATGGTGATCTCCAATCAGAGTATATAGCAGTAGGTTTGGCGCGAGGTAAAGAGATAGCTTGAGCAGGTTGTCAGTAGGGACGGAGATGGTCAAGGACCAGGATGCACCCTAAGTGGGTATAGTAGAGCATGTGTTGGTTGCAGCGTCGAACGATCAAGAGGAGTATATCAGAGCGGTGGCCCTTATTGTCTTTTATGGAAATCAAGAGTGGAAATATGGATCCTGCTCTTATGATAAGTGACGTGATCGAATGGTGATTGAGGAGTCGATGATGAGGAGTACGGTATACCATTACTTCCTGACTAGGAGTCAGGGTTAATACTGGATAGTGGGAGGTTCGGTGATGAAATGGTGTGAGAGTTTAATTGACTAGAGACAGTTATGGTGGGAAATTCTGAGGATTTGATCTGAGTTTCAGGACATATGGAGTTGCTCGATCTCTATCGGGAGATCATCGAGTGTTGAGTAGCATCTTCCAAAGGGGGTGTAATAATTACTGGTGGAAAACATTCGGTGTGATAATTTCTGATGCGCAAATTGGGAATGGTTCGAACCCTAAGTGGGGGAGAACTGGGTATTTTGATGGGAGGATCAGAGATTCGATTGGGAATGGATAAAGTTATGGATATAGAGTCTGGTAGGGCATAATCATTGAGCTCAAAGTTGTTGGTGATGGAGACGAGGTGAAAAGCGAGATGATGTTTGAAGAGGATGAGTGCCTCCACGGCAAGTGGTCGTTAATCGGAGACCTTGGGGTGGATAGAAGTCCTTCAAGGTCACAATGATGGACTCGATATGGTTGGCTTGTAGGGTGAGGTAGTCGGTTAAGTCTTTGAGTGTAGAGATCAAAAGTAGAGGTTGCGGGTATACGTGCAAAGTGTGATCTACACTCCAAGAAAAGCAAACATTTGGTCTGCCGGTTAGTTTTAGAGGCGGTATGAGTAACCTTGTGTAAGTACCGATCAGCAGAGGGTGAAACTTCGAGTTTTCATAGTCGGGTTATTAGTCAATGTTGTTACCCTATGTTTATTTTGGAAAGGATATATTTCGAGGATGCAAGTGTTTCAAGAGGAAGCTCGGTTGCTAGAGTCTAGTAAAGGACGACAAGTATCTGGGTATGATGTTGTGAGCGTGAGGTCGGTAAATGGGGGCAATGCATCGTGAGATTTGGTGATGTTTTCCTGAGGTGTCTGAGTATGATGTCATTACGTTTGGATTACTTCGTGTAGTGAGAAGGATATGGAAAGTGGGGACCTTTCGGCCAATGGACATCAAGCGAGATTATTCGAGAATGAGGATTGCAGCAGGGATAGGTGTTTCGTTATAGTGGATGTCATCAGAAATGGCAATACATAACTTGAGTAGATGTTTATATTTATGAATGGTCAGTGCGCAGGGCAAGAGTTATTGATAGCGGTATGGCGTCAATGCGAGGATGAGATTGTTAATAGATAAGAGAAAGTGCGGTAGACTGCAGGAAGCTACAGTTTCAGTGGTATAGCCAGAGGTTGTTGTGATGCTATGGGAAGCCATAGTACTCACTGGTTAGAGGTTGATGTGATGCTACAGGAAGCCATAGTACTCACTTGTCATAGGTTGTTGGGATGCTACGGGAAGCCGTAGTACTCACAGGTTAGAGGTTGTTGTGATGCTACGGGAAGCCGTAGTACTCACTGATCAGAGGTTGTTGTGTTGCTACGGGAAGCCGTAGTACTCACTGGTCAGAGATTGTTGTGATGTTACGGGAAGCTGTAGTACTCACTGATAAGAGGTTGTTGTGTTGTTATAGGAAGCCGTAGTACTCACTGGTCAAAGGTCGTTGTGTTGCTATGGGAAGCCGTAGTACTCACTGGCTGGGGTTGTTGTGTTGCTCCGGAATCCGTAGTACTCACTAGTCAACGAGAAGTTGTTATGATAAGGTACTCTTTGATCAGAGCATGACGCAGAAGAGTCTTAGGCATGGGGTGGCCCTAATTTATCAGTTTTTGGGAACCTGGTGGTCGGACCACGGGCGAGATCAGGGTCTCCTCAATGATAAGGAATCATTATGATCTGAGTAGGTGTGGTTATCGCAATCTGAATGAATGGGATGAGGGAGGTACGTATGATTTGTAGGAAATGAGTTCAGAGTTAAGTGCTTCGTTGGGATGAGTGGTTCAAACTCTAGGTCAGACCAAACTCTTAAGTTTGAGTTTGGCTCTGGTGGTACGTGGGATAGGCGAGATGAGATTTTGGATTCTGAAGTGGCTTCCATGATGAGGAGTATTGTCTGTCATCTGACGTCTTAGACCTATGTGGGCCGTACTCGGGTATAGGAGGTACTTCAATTTTCTTGAGCGATAAGTATCAGAAGGCAGAGGTCAGGGTCGATTCGATCTCCAGTTGGTGAAGGTAGCATTTGCTTAGGGTTAACTGAACTTCGTTACTTGGGTGTCGCATTGGGTCGATATGGTGATAGTAAGAAGTAAACCATGGTGATGGTTGGGATAATGCAATGGGTGACCCTGGAGATCAACTGTCGGGTCAAGATTGGACCTGGTGCTTAGTGTTAAATAGGGATATGAGGGTTGCAGCTGAGGCTTATGATTTTAGATGGATGACTTCTGAGCGGGCATGGTCCTCTTGTGTCAGAGGATAGGATGTTGAAAGTTATTGATTCAGAAGGATTCTGATATTGGTTTAGTGGGTAAGCCGTGGTTGGATGTACAACCTTT